AAGGTGGGCCGCGGGGTGCGGATGGCCAGGCCTCGGGGCCTCGGCTTTTGAGCGGGGGGAGGACGGGGGGGGCTGAGGAGGAGGGTACTGCCCGCCTGGCTTCTCGGGACCACACCGGGACCCTTGCCCCGAGCCCGAGATGACCCAGGAGGGGGAAGGGGCCTCCCAGGAGGAGGCGGAAAGGTCCCAGGCTCCGCAGCGGGCGGGGGAGATGGGGCGCAGGTACCCAGGCCGCGAGAATGGGGCGGGGGTGGAGGGTGCGGTGATGGGGACAGGTTCCCTCCCCGTGGCCCCCCTCCCTTGCTCCCTCCCTCAGCTCATCCATCTCCAGAAGATTATATTTAAATATCTCTTTTGTGCAAGGCAGGAGCTGGGCTCGCCCCTAAGAGGCGGTTTCCATGGCAACAACAATTGCCAGCTTCCGTGTGGTGAATCAGCGTTGCCATGGCAACCCCATCCTCATCTGCCCAAGGTGCTGGGAGGAGGGAGGAGGTGAGGGCCAGCGGAGGCGGGGTGGGAGGGGTGGGGGCGAACAGGAGGCTGGAGCTCAGGTGCCCCTACTCCCCCCACCTCCCTTTACAACCTGTCTGTCCCCAGCCCAGAAACTGGTCCCATCTGGTTGAAATAATCTCCCCTCCTGCCTCCAGCTAGCTGGGTGTGGTACCCAGGTGGAGAGGGCTCGTGTGTGTGTGTGTGTGTGTGTGTGTGTGTGTGTGTGTATGTGTGTACGTGGTGGGGGAAGGGAGACATGGTTTGGCCTTTCCCAGGTGGTCAGGGTCCCTCTGAAGATGTGGCTGCGTGGCAGGTATTGGGGACACTGGGAGGCCTCTCTGCTTCTGGGGCTCCCAAGGCTGAGTTCAAATTGAGGCAGCCCATATGAGCCAGGGAACAAACACTCAGAATGGGAGGGGTTCAGAGAGAGTAGGGAAGCTGGAGAGGGGGAGGGAGCTCAGGGAAAGAGGGTGCAGTGTGAGGGAGGGGCCTCTGATGGGGTGGGGAGGCTCAGAGCTGAGATAGGGTCCAAGACAAGGGGAAGGAGATTTGGGGGTTCATAGTTGGAGAGGGGTCTCTATTCATAGGAGTGGGTAGAAAGATCCTTAAATTTGACGTCTAGGAAGGCTGCTTAGTGCCTCAACTGGCCCACCATGACCTTGGACGAATAGTCTGGGCCTTGATGTTGACATCTGTAAGGCCCGGTGAAAATTGTGCCTGCCTCTGGAGCTTGCTGGGCACCTGCACAGAGAGTAGAAAGCTGACATCCATCAAGCACCTTCTCTGAATGGCCATGGGGATGGTCTGACCTGGGAGGGGGTCTAGGACTGGCACTCGTTCCAACCCCAGGCCAGGCGCAGAGCCACCAGGTACCTTCCATGCTGGTGTGCGTCAGCCACTTCTTTCTGGTCAATTCAGTTCGGCAAGCTTCTCGGATTCTCCCTGTCTGGTGTGGGGAGAGATGCCTGCTCTGAGAAAGCAAGACATAGACACTTCCTGCCCTGAGGCAGAGGGAGAAAGGAACCCAGAGGGGTGGAAGGATTGCCCGCATGGGGGCTTTTGAGCTGGGTTTTGAAGGATGAATAGTTCACCAGGAGACACAAGGCTTGGAGGAGGATTCTACTCTCAGACCAGTGGAGAAGCAAATGCCACCCCCTTCCCACATCCCTTGAGTTTATTCTCAAATATCCACATTAGCTCACATCCATGGCTGGGTCAGTTTGGGGGTGGGGATTAGAGGAGGATTTCTTCCATTAAACATCATTTTCAGTGCTGGGGGTGGAGGACAGAAGTGTCCAGAGCAAGGAGCCCAGATTGAAAGCTGGTCCATGCAGGTATGACAGTCCTCCCACCCAAGGCTCAGAGAGCTGACTAAAAGTAGCTGCCTTGGTATTAGTCAGCTACTACTAAGGAACAAACCAACCCAACCATTTTATTTGTTGATTCTGTGGGTTAGTAAGCTCAGACTGGGCTCAGCTGGGTGGTTCTTCTGCTGGTCTCTCCTGGGGTCATTCATGCAGTGGCAGGCAGGGCTTGCTGGGATGAGCTGGGACAGGCCAACCTCATTCCCACATGCTGTTTGTCAGGGGGGCCTCTCAAGGCATGAGGTCTGTCCTCCTGCCCTGCCTGGGCGTGTCACCTGGCAATGTCAGGGTTCCAAAAGAGCAAGCTGCAAAGTCTCTTGAGGCCAGAGCTTGGAACTCCCACCACTTCCCTTCCACTACATTCCACTGGTCAGAGCAAGTCAGGAGGCCAAGTCCAGATGCAGAAGTGTGGGGTATTAATAGGCTCCAGTTTTTGATGAGAGAAACTGCAAAGTCACATCACACACAGGGACTAGAGGGATTGGGCATCTTTGCAAAGAACCTACTACACTTGAGAAAGCAAGGAGGCTTCCTACAGCAAGATATATTGTGACTGGGTTTTGAAGGCAAAGTAAGAGTTTTCCAGACTGCAATGAGTGAAGCCCCATCAGTGGAACCATGTGTCACTTGTTTGACTGATTTGCTGCTGGAAGTTGGTGGGATGCTGAGCCTTGGGGAGGTGGTCAGGGCGCCTGGCAGAGCTCAGGCAAAGCCCCCACCCCTGATGCCCCCACTGTCAGCCTTGACCTCCTCCTCCCCTCTCTCTCTCTACAGATGGCGCGGCCAATCCAGGTGAAGCCGGCGGACAGCGAAAGCCGCGGAGGTAGTTGTCATCTCTCCGTGGCCACCAGGCTGGGAGGTGGCAGAAGAATGGGGGATGGAGGGGAGTCCCTGATCAGAAGGCTGTAGCAGTCACCTCTCTGCTCACACACCTCATGGTGGTGGGAGAGGCAGAGTCCCCTGGCTAGGGTAGGGGCAGGAGAGCCGGGGGGGGCTGTGTCCCTTCTTCCACACCACAGTGCCACAGGCCCAGGAGTGGAGGAGTTGTCGGGGGGATTTGGCTAGGTCCAGCTGCTTGCCCCTAGAGCTTAAAATGCCCCACTCCCTGTAGGGTGCAATATTGGGGGTCTTCTGATGCAGAGGGGCTGGGATCCCTGAAGGGACCCCTCAGGGGGATTGCTTTCAGTGTGTGTGTGTGTGTGTGTGTGTGCGCGCGCGCGCGCGTGCATGTTTGTGAGCATGCATACCTTGGCACACCTGTGTACAGATGTGTGTGAGCACGTGCACACGTGCATGTGTGTTTCTGTGGCTTATGCGGTGGGGCTGCCTGCTGGCCTGTGTGCATGTCTGCGTGCCTGGCCTGTGTGTGGGCGTGTGTGTGTGAGCCTGTGTGCTTGACTGTTCCAGGTTGGGCGTGTGGGTATGTGGGCTGGAGGCCTGGCATCTGCATAGGTCTGGACCGTGTTGGGGATGTGACCATGGGGGTATGCTCGGCTGTCCCTAGTGGCATCCAAGCTAGCCATTCTTGGAGATTTTCCTACCCCCTCCCCATTTCAGGTGGCCTGGGGCCTGAGGGGGAGCAGCCAGCCTTGGGGGTGGTGTGTGGGGCAGGGCTGTTAGGACATCTGTGTATATGTAGGAGCCTGGTACAGCCCATCTGGGCTGGGACCTGTTTTCACACTCTCAAAACGGGCTGCTAGTGTAGGTCAGGGATTGGGATGGGGGTTGGGGGGTCCTGCATGTCTCTGTCTCTTCTCTTCTCTCTCTCTTAATAATTCTTCCTCTTCTTCTTCTCCTCCTCCTCCTTCTGTCTCTATCTCTCTCTCTGTCTCACCTTCTCTTTCTCCACCTCACTCCATACCTTTCTCTCTCATCTTTTTCTCTCCTTCTGTGTCTCTGATTCTCTCTCTACTCTTTATGTGTCTCTCTTTGTCTCTTACTGTCTCTCTCTTTGACTGTCTCTGTCTCTGTGTTTCTCCCTGTCTCTCTTTCTCTCTCACATGTCACTTCCCCTGACTCTCAGTCTCTCTGCTTCTATGCCCCTCTCTTCCATCCCCATGAGTGACAGCTGCCAGAGAACAGGTTTCCATAGTAACCCAGCTCACCATCCCCGGGAGATGAAGCTGCCATGTTCCTGATTGCAGGGGAACAGCCCAGTTACCAGAGGGAGCAGGACTCTTGTGCCTCCAGCCAGGCCTCCAGCCAGACCCCCACCCACCAGATGGGGGCTCCAGGCTTTGGGCGCCTGGTCCTGTGCGCACACGTGCCCTCGCTCATTCAACAGACTTTGAATGCCTGGCCCCTCTTGAGGATGCAGGGGCCATCAGCGCTCCCCCCCCGACTGGGAAATCTAGATGGCAGACAGACAGACAGGGACGCAGGCCAGGCAAGGCAGTTCTTACGCTAGTACTATGTGTGAGTTCTCCGAGGGCGAGGAGAGAAACCATCTTTGGCCGGAGGGTGGGAGCAGTGAAGCGGTGGCCCTGCGGGGTTGAAGGGAGGGCATTCCAGGAGAGGGGCACTGCGTGAGCAAAGGCTTGGAGATGAGCCGTGCACGGCACGTGGGAGGATGGAGAGGCCCAGAGCAGGGAAGCGCGTGGCTGTGTCCTCCCCCACGTACAGGCAGAGCAGGGGCCAGCAGTGCTCCCCCCACGCCCTGCTGCCTCCATTCTGTTGGAGGGATCGAGAAATTCCCGGAGGCCAGGACTCGGCTGAGGGGGTGTCTCCGCCCACAGGAGACCGGAAGCTGTTTGTGGGGATGCTGAATAAGCAGCAGTCGGAGGAGGACGTGCTGCGGCTGTTCCAGCCCTTTGGGGTCATCGACGAATGCACCGTGCTGCGCGGGCCTGACGGCAGCAGCAAAGGTGACCGGCCGGGGGCGGGACTGGCCCGGGGGCGGAGCCGGGCGCGTGGGGGGATGGGCCTAG